GTACTTTCATTCGGTACTTCTCTGTAGGCGAAAAGTGCCGCTGGGATGAACAAGTCCCAATCGTCATTGTCTTGAATGTCCCTGAAGCCTACCCTTCTCCCTCTGTACTCATGTCCAATTTGTCTACGATTGGACCGGCACCCTGCCGCTATGTGCCCCTCAGCCCCACAGTTGAAGCATTTGATTGGGTGTCTTCTGGGACTATTATTACTACTCGGCATAGGTTGGACCGGACTTTGTCTTCTTCGCTCCTGTTGAAGGTTGACTTCATTTCTTGTGCACCATTCCTCTCTAATGGGGCTCTTAGATCTAGGTCTTAGGGTTCGTTTGTCCATGTCCTCTCTAAAGGGATTCCTAGATCCTGATGCAAGTGCCATGGGGCAACAAATGTGTCCTCTGCCACGTCGATCGGTTTTAATTTCCTGTCTGGGTAGATGTCAAAGTAGTTGTCACAAGCATTTTCTACGTCTGTTATTGTACTCGGGTTTTGCCTGAGGACGTGCTGTCTTACGTCTTGTCCGACTGTTCTCATTATTTTGTCTGTTAAGAGTAGGTCAAACAGTCCGTCAAATGTTTTGTCACACTTGCTAGCTTCGACCCATCTTCTCAAGTAGTGTCGCACCCTCCTAATGTAACTCCCTGCTCTATCTTGTTCTGAAGGTTGGGCACTATTAAACTTCTCACTATATCCTTGCTCCGTCAGACCAAAGTGTTTTAAGACCTCCCTTTTCAGTTTCCCATAACTCTCTTCGGCTCCCAATTCTGTTAACCACGATTCGCAGCCTATATCTAGCAGAACTTTTCTAAACTCGTGGCACCAAAACTTATCTTCTAAGCCTATTTCTCGGGCTTCCCTTTCTAAAATATCAAGCACCACCTCCATATCTGTTTAGTCCCTACTGTTTCTCAGCCCAGTCAGCTTAATTTTTGGGGTCTGTGCCCTACCCCTGCCCTTTATGTCTTCCTCCCTGTTCCCCTTCTTTTCCTCCATTGCTAGTTCCAGCTCCTTCAGTTTTAGTCTTTCTTCTGATTCGATTTTAGCCCTAGCTAGCGCCCTGTCTGCAGTCCTCTCGTCCCTTTAAGCCTGCTGCCTAGCCTTAGCCTCCGCCTCTAACAATTTAGACTCAGCCCATTCCAACCGCTCCTTTCCCTCTAGTCTACATCTTTCCCCTAACGCTATAAAATGCTCTAGCGTTAAACCTTCGCTAGCCATCTCACCTTATCCACTTAGGATTGGATGCCGAAATTAAATTTAATACCCAATACAATGTTAGGTAAAGGGTAATCCCCGGTTGCGAGTACCGTGCCAAAGACTAATGCAAAAACACTTACCTCAATAAGTACCAATCTGTTGTAGTAGTCCCTTCCCCTACTTTAGCCCTTCGAAACAATGGTAAATCCTGTGATGGTGAGGCTCTGTGCTGGTAACGTCCGCTGATGGTAAGGCTCTGTGTGGGTAACGTCCGGTGATGGCGGCGTCCAATGATGGTGAATTCCAGTTAGTGTGACTTCCAATGATGGCGATTTTCTGTTCTGGTAAGGTCTCAGGATGGTAGAGTCCAGCGATTGCGACTTTTTGTTCTGATAAAGTCCTAGTATGGCGGTGTAGTCCAGCGATGATGACGTCCAGTGGTGGTGACGTCTATTGATGGTGAAGTCCAATGATGGTGATTTCCAGTGATGGTGGCGTCCGGCGATGGCAACTTTCTGTTCTGGTAAGGTCTCAAGATGGTAGAGTCCAGTGGTGGTGACGTCTATTGATGGTGACGTCCAATGATGGTGATTTCCAGTGATGGTGGCGTCCGGCGATGGCGACTTTCTGTTCTGGTAAGGTCACAGGATGGTAGAGTCCAGTGGTGGTGACGTCTATTGATGCTGACGTCCAGTGGTACTAACGTTCTGATGGCGACTGTCTGTTCAGGTATGGTCCCAGGCTGGTATAGTCCAGTGATGATGACGTCTAGTGATGGTGACGTCTAATGATGTTGACGTCTAATGATGGTGACGTCCAATGGTAATGACGATCTGATGATTGCGCTATCTTTACTTGTTTAATACTTGCGACCAGTTGTTATGTTCTGCGATGGTTTTAAAATTCAAGAACGACTCGGGTTAACGTTCAATACTTTTATTCGTCTCAAAATGCATTCAAACGTACCCCTCGCTAGTAACTAACCCCTGACAATCATTCACACCCGCTTTTATACCGCATTCGAAGAGATGCCTGGAAGAAACTCTGCAAGTTAGGCTAGGCTTTATGAAACGTGTTGGGCTCGGATTTATGAAATCATTAGGCTCAGGCTTATGAAATATTTTAGGTTAGTACTCACGAAATATGTTTTTCTATAATTCATGAATCATGTTAGTTAGAGTTCAGGATTCTAGTTTGCTAGCTTGTAATTTTTCATACACAAGAACGTGTTGACAATACGAAGACAAGATCTACTTGAGATTATTTTAACGGTTTTTTTATACTCTTCGTTGAGTGTGGGAATGATGGTAGTCCATGTATAAATAAATAAATTAGTTTGAATTTACATACTAGACATTTTAAGCTAAATAAATATATGTACATACCGCCCCCCCCCCCCCCGAACAAATGAAATTTATATAATTTATATAGAAAATATATACTTTTAACAGTGTCCGCCCCCCCCCAAAGAAAGTCTACCGCCCCCCCCCCCCCCCCCCCCGAAAATTTCAAGTGCCAACCCGGAGAAAAAAGTCTGGAAGAAACACTGCTAACTTGTTCAATAAAACGTTGCTAAACTTGTACCCTAAAGCATCAGCCTAATTATAAGCCTAAAATAATAACTTAAGATTTAGAGATAAACCCTAACCTAACTTGTACCATAAAACCCTAGCTTAACTAGTACCATAAAACCGTAGCCTAAGTTTTAGCATGAATCCCTAGACTAAATTAAATTTTACATACACAGTTTCGGCTGAGCTAGGGTCACTGAAACCTTATCAGTACGATATTTAATTTCTACAGCTATTTAATCAATCTAAAAAAACTTGAAGGAAATATTTCCGGGGTCGAAATTTGAGAAATAGGTTTATCTAATTTCACAATAGCGTTGTTTAACATTCACACAATTTGATCTGGTTTCATGGCTGTAAATACGCGCTAGAAACTCGCTCTCAATCCACATTATAATGGTACTTCTGGTGTGTGGTATCAGAAATTTTGTTGAGTTGGCTGAAAAGTTTACTTTTATTAATTTGACCTTAATGTCGAATGTTTCTTATAATAATTGTTGCATATTTTTGTTGTACCCTATTTGGCAACAAGACTGTAATCATCGATGTTCGACTTTGAATGAATGTGACCTACTTAGGTCTTGTATTTTTTTAGTTTACATTTGTTATTCCACCATGAATGGCCTTTGGTGTAATCACCGGTATTTTTCCATAGTTTCAAGAAAGAGATATACCCGGTACTTTTCCATCACAAGAGATGGTGTAATCCTTATATAATTACGATTGGTTGATTCGGACATCGGCGATGGCCCAACCAATAGTCTTATGAATTGAAGGTGACCTCCCATGTAGACTAAGGTGTTAAATAGTCTGCGCACACGTTTCTCAAGGCGGTCGAGATCAGACATCCTGAGGGAGGTGGCCGTGTGAGAGTCGCCATATTGTACTTTGTAGTTTGAAGCAGTTTTTCCCTTATTACTTGTGGTTTTAAGTAATATTGTGTGCTTTAAGTAGTGTAATTAAGCTGTGGTGATTTTCCTAAGTGCCATATCCTGTGATAGTGTAACATAGTGTTTTTCTTCAACTTGTAAGTTGGGTTTTTGTTATTCTACTAATTCATTTTATTCTGTATAAAGCTAGAGTCTTATCTTGAACTTGTACACTTATTAAAGGTTATATATAGGTTAAATGTGTTGTTGGTATCTAGAGTTCCTCGAGTATATCCCCTAGACGTAATGTACGAGTCCTTGTTTAATTGTTGTACCAGCTACCTTTTATAAGGCCACGAGCCATTTGTGTGTAACCATCTAAACGAACCCGGGTACGTTCGCCAGCTCTGCGTCTGCTAGTGTGGTGTTCGTAACAACATACAGACCTCAAATACATACCTTACGAAAAGAAAATGCTTTCTTTATTGCAGTATTAAACGACAGTATCCATGCTCATCATCACTATAATGTGTTCTTTATACATTAAAAATAATTAAAATAACTATGTCGCGTCTTTTAACCATTTCAATTTTTTGTTTGTTGGTCATGTTATTTGCATTTATTTATACATATATTTACAATGGTCTCAGCAAAATGTAATACGGTAGTTAAATTTCTTTGAACTATTTCTTTTTTTTTATTTATAAACAAACGACATAGTTTGTACATGAACCTACTAACTTTATCTTACACAATCGTAAATTCTTTGATGGCATCACGATAATTACAGTTTTAAATTAAATCTCTCATTCTAACACTACAACAAGATTCAAGTTAGGTTGTCAAAAATCATATTTTATTGCAATTTGAATGATTGCCATTTCAGGCTTGCCACACTCGTATAGACAAACAAATTTAACAAAAAACAACTAATAGACACTGAACGCTGAAGGCAAAGGTAGTAGACTTTGTGTGGGCCAGGTCAGCGGCTTGTAAATAGACACCACGCACAGGAACGAATATTACTTTGTAAGTTACACAGGAAAAGACAACCAGTTTTTTTTTCAAAAATTTGAATGAGAAGTTAATATTCATTAAACAAATACATTATTAAACATTTTTAAAAAATTATCAAACAATAGCCAAACAAAGAAAAACTATTTACAAAAGTTAGTTATAAACTTAAGCTGTTTTGTTACCCTGAACACACTCTTGTTTCTTTCCTTCTTTAAATAAAAAAAATCTTAAGGCACGTTAAATTTGCCACTTTAAAATGTTCATGAAATAATCTATATATTGATAAAGCAGCTAAGTGTACTGTTTAAGAGAGAAAACATCCAGAATTCTCACCTTTTTTTTTGTATAAATAAAGATTAGATCAATGAATTAATCAATGAATTATTGGTATACAATAGTAACTTAAGAGAGACGACACTAGAGACAAATTAAGAGACAGATTTTTCTAGGGTTTGTAAACTGTAAACTATTTAAATACAATTGAAAACACTATATTAACTTGATTTTATATATCAGATGAAATTACCCTGTTTAACTATAACAATTGTAAATTTTATTTCTAATTCAAGTAAATTTCAGCAGTCAAGCAAATGTTTAGACTTTGCTTAAGAATAACAACTGAATATTAAAATATAACTTTTATCTAATTATTCATACTTAAAGATTTAACAGAAGACTCAAAGTTACCCCCAATACTACGCCGCAAAATACACCAGTAAAAATTGTTGAGTAGACAGTTTTTGCCAGCTTTTGACGTTGTGCTGGCAATAAGAGCTCGCCGAACTGAAGGACTGTCCGTGTATAAAAGTAGGTGTCAACCACTGCCGCACCAACACAAATGGCACAACACAAGAAAAGTATTCCTGTAAAGAGACCAGGTATTATAAATTTTAACCGAGCCTCTGAAAAAACAAAATGAACTAAAAGCAATTGCATTAACACACACTTGCCCCCACTCTTCCGTCCCTCTCCCCAGTCACATCCCCCCACCACACACACACTTCCAAAATTACATAAAGATTTTAAAATTGTTTACCATTCAACACAACTAAGGATATTGTGATGGTATTTTTGTTTCCATTTTTTGTTTGGGGGGGAGCGGTGGGTTCTGTTTTCTCCGGAACGTCAACTTCCTGCAGTTGTTTCGTTTCCTTGAATATGCCATGCTTAATTTGTCTTAGGGAATCTTGATAAGCTTTAATCAATTTTTTGTTTTCTTTTCGCTCTTGAAACAGCATCTCTTTCAATGCCTCGACAGTATTTGAGACGGACAGATTGCCGGGACTGTCTAAATCGCCTTCAAATATTTCCGTAGTTTCCGTATTTTTTGGCTCAGAAGCAATTAGGCCTATAAAACAGCCTGCGGTATTTCAATAAATTTAAATTAAATGGTAATAAAATTAAAATTGAACCAAATTTCATAAAAGCTAATTTTACACCAGTTTTTAATATCTCTCTCTCTCTCTCTCTCTCTCTCTCTCAATATATATATATATATATATATATATATATATATATATATATATATATATATATATATATATATATATATATATATATATATATATATATATATAAAACTTACTATAAATTATAGCCATGAAAAGGAAAGATGCTTGGCATCTTTTATAGGGCTGGGCTGCTTGAACCTAAAGAAATTCAAACAGATGTATCGTATAATAAAACGCTAACTTAGTTAAGTATGGACAATGTACGCTATCCCAGTTAACATTAGATAATGGAATCTAGTCAGGCTTAAACAACAGACACCAACCTTGGTAGGTTTAGCTGAACCTGGTCCCTTTGTGTCAAACCTGGTCCTGACCGGGTCAGTGAGGTCACCGACACAGCCCTCCGTGTAGCGGGTCTTGGTGGTGTCTGTCAACATCAGTCTAGACACCACACCGGCCTCTGTGGGGGGAACGTGTGGGGAATGTTAAACCTAACTGTTAAAGTGTATGTGATGTTAAACCTAGGTGTGATTAGGTGTTATAGAAAAGTGTATGGAATGTTAAACCTAGGTGTCGTTTTGTGTGTAAAAGTGTAAGGGATGTTAAACCTAGGTATGGTTAGTTTTTTTAAGTGTATGCGATGTTAAACCTGGGTGTGGTAAGGTGTTAAAGTGTATTTGATGTTAAACCTAAATGTGGCTAGGTGTTTATTGTGCTTAGATGTAGTTAATAAACAGTCAGCTGTAGTTGGTAGCAGAGGCGTAGCGAGGGCGGGGGAGGAGGGGGGGGGGGGGCATATGTCCCCGGTCGCCGACCCTAGGGGCGCCAAAACGGGTTGAAAAAAAGTTAAAAGCTCATTTTAGCAGCAGTTTTGCATTATAAATATAAACATTGACAGTTTTTTCCGGGCGCCGGAAAGGGTCGCTTAGCCTCTGGTTAAACTTGATCTCTATCTATTTTTGATACGATCTCCTTTAACCTATTGTGACTAAAGTAAAGAAAAAATTAAATTTTTGAACATCCCTGATGGAAAAAAACAAACTATTTTTAACTAACCAATCAACGAGCAGCAGGTGACGATGGCGTCAGTGCACGGTCCAATGGCGTCCATGACGGACTGCCGGACGAAGCCGGTGGTGCTGAGGACTTTGAGCTTCCAGTGGGGCTCTGGGATATCTTCACAGTGGGAGGAGAGCATCTGGATCATGGAGGGCTGCAGGCTGGCGATGGTGCACTTCTCTTTCTCTATCAGGTCCCAGGTCTGAACGTGCCAGTAGAAAGGACGGACGGGATTAGTGGTAGGTAATCTAACGATTGGTTTATTTTATTTTGTTTGGGTAATACATTCAGAGACGTAATCCTAATCCCGGTTTGTATCCAATCGAAGTAAACAACCGGAACAATTTAAAATCATTAGACTTACCCATGTGACTCACACAACAACTATAACTGACCCACACAACGACCATAACTCCCTGACACACACAACGACCATACCTGACCCATACAACGATCATACCTCACTGACCCACATAACGTCCATACCTGACCCTCAAAACGACCATACCTGACCCATACAACAATCATATCTGACCAACACAACGACCAAATATGACCCACAGAACGACCGTATCTAACCCATACAACAATCATATCTGACCAACACAACGACATAACCTGACCCATACAACGACCAAATATGACCCACAGAACGACCGTATCTAACCCATACAACAATCATATCTGACCAACACAAGGACATAACCTGACCCATACAACGACATAACATGACCCATGTAAAGAAAATACCTCTTTGACCACCACAACAACTTTACCTCACTAAACCAACATAACGACAAAAGCTCACTGACCCACACAACGACCATACCTGACCCACACAACGAATATACCTTTCTGACCCACACAACGACCATACCTCACTGACCCACACAACGACCATACCTCCCTGACCCACACAACGACCATACCTCACTGACCCACACAAGGACCATACCTCCCTGACCCATACAACGACCATACCTCCCTGATCCACACAACGACCATACCTTACCCACACAACGACCATACCTTACTGACAACCTTCTCCGCCGGACAGTCTGTGAGAGTGGACTTGACGATCGTACATCCGGTGCTGATGTAGCAGAACGGCAACCCTGTCAACCAGCTGACAGGCCAGTCGTTGTAAACTACGTCATCACGTATGATGTTAAACATGTCCTCGACCCGGTGAGCGATCTGACACAGCTGGGAGTGGTTACGTAACACCAATTTGTAGTGCTCTGGGGAGATACATGGATCAAATGTTCTGGGGAGATACATGTATCAAATGTTCTGGGGAGATACATGGATCAAATGTTCTGGGGAGATACATGGATCAAATGTTCTGGGGAGATACATGTATCAAATGTTCTGGGGAGATGAATGGATCAAATGTTCTGGGGAGATACATGGATCAAATGTTCTGGGGAGATACATGGATCAAATGCTCTGGGGAGGTACATGGATCAAATGTTCTGGGGAGATACATAGATCAAATATTCTGGGCAGATACAAGTAGACAGTTTCTGGGAAGATATAAGTATTGATGCTTTGTAACGCTGCATCTGGGAAATTGTGAAGACAAGTTTTCTAGATTTGGTTTAGAAACTATTTTGTTTGGGGCGGCGTAATCAAGGGAGGGAGGGAGGGAGGGAGGGAGGGAGGGAGGGAGGGAGGGAGGGAGGGAGGGAGGGAGGGAGGGAGGGAGGGAGGGAGGGAGGGAGGGAGGGGAGGGGAGGGAGGGGAGGGGAGGGAGGGAGGGGAGGGGAGGGAGGGGAGGGGAGGGGAGGGAGGGAGGGAGGGAGGGAGGGAGGGGAGGGGAGGGGAGGGAGGGAGGGAGGGAGGGAGGGAGGGAGGGAGGGAGGGAGGGAGGGAGGGAGGGAGGGAGGGAGGGAGGGAGGGAGGGAGGGAGGGAGGGAGGGAGGGAGGGAGGGAGGGAGGGAGGGAGGGAGGGAGGGAGGGAGGGAGGGAGGGAGGGAGGGAGGGAGGGAGGGAGGGAGGGAGGGTTATGCTGGTGGCAATAAGAAACTGACCTCGTTCTGGAAAACTCTCCCAGATAAACCTCAGCTTGCCGTTGACCGTTCGGTAGCTGAGCTCAGGCCGGGGGTCAATGATTGGCTGGGTTAAAGCGTCGGAGTGACACAGCATCTGGGGGGAGGGGGGTGATAGAGATTAGTGTACATAATGTAGTCAATTACAGCTATGTGTGCATACAATTAGGGGAATCAAAGAAATAAGTGTACAAAATTAAGTAATCCCTGAAATTACAAAATTAGGGGAATCACACACATTTGTGTACAAAATAATATATATATATATATATATATATATATATATATATATATATATATATATATATATATATATATATATATATATATATATATATACATATATATGATTATTTATATATATATATATGTGTGTGTACAACGTGACAGGACTGTATGTAAATATATACTTGTACATCGTGATATGGTTGTCTGTGTAGCCTACCTAGTCTATATATATTTTTTTTAAATAGATGTCTAGTTTATGTTGCGATCAAGTTTCTTTAAAATAAGACATACCACTTTTTACGAAGTTTTTTTTTTATTATCAAGAACAAGATCTAGATCTAGATTCTATAATGTAGATCTACTTTTTTCAAACAGTTGTTTTTTAAATTTCAACAGGAAGTTGAAAGCAAAGTTGACAACATGGTGGGTGATTTCTGGAAACTGTGAAAAGTTAATAGTATGACGTCATGGAAATATGATTGTGTGGAGAATGTTAATTTTTTTTTAATAGCCGACACCTTTTTTTTGTGTTTGAACAACTTTATATGCAAAAGAATAGAACATTCTTGGTAAAAATAGTTTTTTTTTTTAAAGGACGAAGAAATAATCATCGTTATCTTAAGGGATTATTTCTTTTTAAATCTAAAAATTATGACTAAAACTGTATAGTTATACTAACTAGACTCTACTCTAACGAGCCTCATCTGCCCGAGGGTTCGAACTCGAAACCATGAACTTTACCGACTTGACCACGCCCACCCCACACGAAGGATCAAATCGATAATTTCAAAGTTGCCGAGCACAGAATAACTTTTTATTTATAATTGTATCCGTTTCTTTTTAAACTAACTGTTTTTGCAATGTTGTTCGCCATTTAAATTCTCAAAACCTTTTTGAACTTCTCTATTTGAATTGTTGGAACATTCACACTATTCGAGAATGCGGTTACATTCACTAATACTTAAGCTTGTGTATACAGGGGTATGTCCATTAAAATAGATTACAATATTGCGTACAAGCAATACATTTATGTTTCTTACCAGTTCCTCTAGAGAACACAGTTGGTAATTAATATATTCAATTTTAAGTAAAACATATATCATCATTTCACGTTCGTGCCCAAGACACATGGGGCAGATAAATGATATTTTCCGGGGAGGGGGGGGGGGACAACATTTCCAAGGGGACGGACACTTGTTAAAGTAGGCCTATATGTTTTCTATATCAATTCCATTTCGTTCGGGGGGGGGGGGGCAAAGATTTTCTTCGAGGGTGGGGAAGTTGCCTGGAAGATACTCTGACCGCCTAAAATGTGTAAAGTAATTGATTTTTTTTTTTAAATTTGGAGAAAGATTAGGTTTATTTGTCTATACCCTAAAGAACGATCAAAAACTTTTTGTCATTACGTATTTATTCCAGCAAAAATTACGTGTACCTAAAACAATTACCGTTCACGTAATATATTTCAAAAGAAAGAAGTTAAAGAACACAAATGTTTGATGCTCAATCTAATTTCCTTTAGGGTAAACCCGTGTTCGCATGTTTGAATTAGAGTAGATTAAATTTTAAATGTTAGCAGTAGAACTAGCGTGCAGCTTAGTTAGTTGGTAACATATTGGGATAAGATAAGTTTTAACTTAAAATTTAAAAAGAAAAATTACATCTATCCTATATATCTACATTATTATTACTAATTACAACCACTTAAACCAGTAGATTATTTAGTATAAATAAAATAAACGCACCGTAGCGTGTAGATCTGTATCAGTTATACACGCAATATATTTCAAAAGAAACAAGTTAAAGTGTGCAGATTAGTTAGTTGGTAACATATTGGGATAAGATAAGGTTTAACATAAAATAAAATAAAAACCCTCTATCCTATCTAGATTCTAGACTCTATATCTGTATTAGATCTATTAATTACTATTTACAACGAATTACACCAGTAGATTATTTAGCATGAAATTAATCTCACCGTAGCGTTTAGATCTATATCAGTTATACACGAAAACTAGACTTTCCACTCAGACTATCTGATCTCCTTACCGTACGTTGCTTTCTACTGTTACCAAATATTTGACTTGAAGGACATATGACGTTATCTTAAGCCTCGGCTCTCAATCTATTCCGCACTATTAGACACGCGTCATCACGTTCAATATGGTTTTAAGTCGTGCAACTCTGGTGTAAATAAAACATGTAAAGTACTAAAAAAAATTTCATAAAAAACGTTTTAATAACAAGCTTTTATGTAATAATGCACTGAAAAGTAGAAAATAAATAATATTATACAATACTATTTTAATTACTATAAATATAATAATATATATGGTGTGAGGTAAAAATGTTGTTTAGTTGGCTCAGAAGCAATGGCGTCGCTAGGTCGAGTTTCACCCCGTGTGGCACCTTGTGGTTTAAATCCTCCCCCTACACTACCAAAGGATAAAGTTATAGACATTTATATATTTTTACACACACACACACATATACATATATATTATATATATATATATATATATATATATATATATATATATATATATATATATATATATATATATATATATATAAATATATATATATATATATATATATATATATATATATATATATATATATATATATGCCTATATATATATACAAAGGGGATGGGCTATGGCTAGGCGATCCGGAAATAATGAAGAATATATATATATATATATATATATATATATATATATATATATATATATACATATATATATATACACACTTTAGATAGATTTTAATCTCTATAACGTATATGTATAATAAGTTAAATAAATTAAATTTCATGAATATATTTGTGTATTTTCTTTATAAATTAAGCTGCAACGATAGAAATCATTTCCCTCATGTAGAGGTTAGCGCCCTCAGTCCTGTGTTGTTAAACTCAAGCCCGTTGGAGCAGTGCTAAAGTTATGGCCTTCCAATGGAAATAGAGAAAATATCATTTCAGAATACCGGAAAGGCCATACTACTTACGCAAAATCAGATGTACAACTGTTTTAAAATATTGTCAGACCCCCTCCTCCTCACACTTCCACAAACACTCCTAGGTTGTTGTATAATAATTTGCTTGATTGATAGAATGATAAGTTGATTTTTAATTTTCCAATGTGGTATAACCCCAATCCACTTCTGTGGACAGGATATTTGGTGTCATCTTCCTAAATTTGTGCAAAAATTATTTTAATTCACCAAGAAAAAAATGCATTAAGTGACCTTAAGCTTTCACTTATTAATTCGTGTCGAAAAAAATCATTGCTTTTCTAGTAAATTATTAAATTTATATCTTAATATTTTCGCCATGGTGTCACCCTCCCCCTCCAAATGGTGTCACCCAGTGCGGTCAGCACCCTCCGCTACGCCTCTGAACATTATGATAATTACACTTTAAACTTAAAATTTCTAATTTTAAAAAAACATCATTAGATTAAGGCTGGCTGAAAATTACAAAATTTTAATGCCAATTGACCTATTGCCATTTCGATGTATTATTAAAAAAATATAAAGTGTTATATATATATATATATATATATATATATATATATATATATATATATATATATATATATATACATATATATATATATATTTAGCTTAAAATGTCTAGTATGTAAATTCAAACTAATTTATATATTTATACATGGACTACCATCAATCCCACACTCAACGAAGAGTATAAAAAAACGGTTAAAATAATCTCAAGTAGATCTTGTCTTCGTATTGTCAACACGTTCTTGTGTATGAAAAATTACAAGTTAGCAAACTAGAATCCTAAGCCCTAACTAACACGTTTCATGAATTATAGAAAAACATATTTCGTGAACACTAACCTAAAATATTTCATAAGCATGAGCCTAATGATTTCATAAATCCGAGCCCAGCACGTTTCATAAAGCCTAGCCTAACTTGTTCAATAAAACGTTGCTAAACTTGTACCCTAAAGCCTAATTAGAAGCCTAAAATAATAACTTAAGATTTACAGATAAACCCTAACTTAACTTGTACCATAAAACCCTTGCTTAACTAGTACCATAAAACTTAAGTTTTAACGTGAATCCTTAGACTAAATTAAATTTTAGATACACAGTTTAGGCTGAGCTAGGGTCAATGAAACCTTATCAGTACGATATTTAATTTCTACAACTATTTAATCAATCTACAAAAACTTGAAGAAAATATTTCCTGGGTCGAAATTTGAGAAACAGGTTTATCTAATTTCAAAATAGCGTTGTTTAACATTCACACAATTTGATCTGGCTTCATGGCTATAAATACGAGTTAAGAACTCGCTCTCAATCCACATTATAATGGTACTTCTGGTGTGTGGTATCAGAATTTTGTTGAGTTGGCTGAGAAGTTTACTTTTATTAATTTGACCTTAATATAGAATGTTTCTTATAATTATTGTTGCATATTTTTGTTGTACCCTATTTGGCAACAAGACTGTAATTCATCGATGTTCGACTTCGAATGAAAAATAAACTAAAAGGTATTGATTTAATGTTGAGGTATCAGGTGTTTAGACACTTTCAAGACTGAGCATTTCATTTCTTCATATTCTTTATATTTCTAATATATGTTTCTTATCATACACCTTTGAGTTTTATGTCCTTAGCTACACGTCTACTTGGGATAAGGAACCCCCTTGCTACTCGACTCTTCAATTAAAAGAAACACTTCAGTTGGGTCTTTGCCGTGTAATGTTCTCAATTGTAACATCAACATCCCAGATTTGCTTCGTCGACTATAAACTCAAGAAAATAATGATTTTTGGCTTTTAAAATAACCTTTACCTTATGTTTAAATAATATTTACCTGCTGTTTAATTGATGTTTAAACAATAGTTACCTAATATACACTTTAACATATCTAAAAATTAACACAGCGCATTGGTATACAATTGCTATTAGTAGGCCTATTTAGAAAAACATTTTCATCTTTTTAAATTTAAATATATTTATACGAAAACATGAATATGTAAACAAAGATGCATCAAATTCAAACAATTTAAATATTTTGTTATAATCGTAAGATTTTAATAAATCAGCTAACACCTAGTCTCTCTAACATTTGTAACAGCCAATGCATTAAAGCAAGCCTATTAGCTGCTGCATAGCAACGCACAAAACTAGCACTTCTGATGTCGTTATGAATTTATCTCATTTTTTCAGAAAAGGAAATACGAGGCTTTAGAGAAATTATGTTGCAAGTGGGTTATGTTAAATTTCTTGCAAGTAGGTTAGTTTTGACGTCGTGCTGCTTGTTTATGTAGGTTAAATGTGACATCAACTTAGCTTTCTTCTAAGTAATGTGAAAAGTGGATACTCCTTTTTGAATAGTTGTTTTCCGACAAAAGATGTACTCAGTACAGTGTAAATGGAGGAAACACAAAACTATGCCGATCTAGACATTTTACTTTCATTACATAGCTTATCAATGATCTATATCTCTACAGAAGAGCTTATTCAGACGGCTAATGCCAAATTGTAGATTACTGCGCAATATTAGACGTTGACTTCTTTTTGTATATTTCTCCACTTTCTATAATCTTTCTCCTAATGATCTAACCAATCATCATTTTTTTTTAAAAATGTGACCAACATTACCAGTGGCGTAGCGAGGTCGGGTGTCACCCGGTGCGGCACTTAATGGTGTCGCCCCCCAGAGGCGTAGCGACCCAATCCCGGGGACAAACTTTCAAACTTCCGATTTGCACCCCCCTCAAGTTTTTCTCTATATATTTTGCTATTTTTTGCCTTGGTGTCACCCCCCTAAATGGTGTCACCCGGTACGGTTCGCATCCCCCGCCCCCCCCCCCCTCGCTACACTTCTGAACATTACCTTAATCCATGATGAAAATGACACACCTAGTCGTTACCTTTTTCATAGAAAACAGGTAGAATAGGATCAAAATCAAAGCACACGGGCATCCTATGTGTGTGTATGTGGGAGGCTGGGTGGGTCGGGGTTTGTTTTCTTTACACAAAGGAGGTTTTTTTTTTTTAAATGTAAAACGTTTTGCATATTTCCTTTTTAGGCATCGTACTGTTTATAAATAAGGAAGTTAGCTGTAATATAATAATAATTATAAATACTGTTTATGTCTATTGGTTCAATTGGTTTGTCAGTCAGTCGATTAATCGGTCTCTCTTTCGGTCGGTCTTTAAATATATAATAATACAGTACTATTAAAATAACTATAAAGATAAGCAATTTTCAATATAGTATCTATTGCATCCCTTTATTAAAATAAAGGAAGAGACCACGTCCGTCCGTTCGTCCATCCGTCCATCCATCCGTCCATCCGTCGATCCGTCCATCCGTCCATCCGTCCATCCATCCATTCGTCCATCCGTCCATCCGTCCATCCGTCCATCCGTCCGTCCGTCCGTCCGTCCGTCCGTCCGTCCATCCATCCGTCCATCCGTCCATCCATCCATCCATCCATCCATCCATCCATCCATCCATCCATCCATCCATCCATCCATCCATCCATCCATCCATCCATCCATCCATCCATCCATCCATCCATCCATCCATCCATCCATCCATCCATCCATCCATCCATCCATCCATCCATCCATCCATCCATCCATCCATCCATCCATCCATCCATCCATCCATCCATCCATCCATCCATCCATCCATCCATCCATCCATCCATCCATCCATCCATCCATCCATCCATCCATCCATCCATCCATCCATCCATCCATCCATCCATCCATCCATCCATCCATCCATCCATCCATCCATCCATCCATCCATCCATCCATCCATCCATCCATCCATCCATCCATCCATCCATCCATCCATCCATCCATCCATCCATCCATCCATCCATCCATCCATCCATCCATCCATCCATCCATCCATCCATCCATCCATCCATCCATCCATCCATCCATCCATCCATCCATCCATCCATCCATCCATCCATCCATCCATCCATCCATCCATCCATCCATCCATCCATCCATCCATCCATCCATCCATCCATCCATCCATCCATCCATCCATCCATCCATCCATCCATCCATCCATCCATCCATCCATCCATCCATCCATCCATCCATCCATCCATCCATCCATCCATCCATCCATCCATCCATCTATCCATCCATCCACGCGTGTTTTAAATAAAACACATTCACATGAACAACAACAAAACTGAATCAAGTTACACACCGGAGGTGGTAAACTTTGTTTCAACGTTTTGTAAATAGACCACTCCCAGAGGGAAGGAACAACTTGACTGTAAAGTAAACAACACCGTTAATAAAAAGTAGATCCTGTCTTCATATTGACAACACTCTGTCGCTAACTAGAGTCCGTAAACCCTAGCCTAACATGTTTCATGAACCCGGACCTAACATATTTCATAAGTCCAAGCTCAACACGCTTCACAAGCCTAACTCTAACTTGTTCAAATAAAAAAATGCACCATAAAAACATCAGCATAACTAGAAGCCTAAAATCATAACTTAAATTTTAGAGAGAAACCCTAGCCTAATGTATTCCATAAAAACCTAGCCTAATTTGTACTATAAAACTATAGCGTAACATGTACCGTCAAATCCTAGATTAACTTGTACATTAAAACCCTTCACAAATTAGTACCATAAAAACCTAGCCTGTTTTTGTGTAAAACACTAGCCTATAATTTATTTAAGATATACGGTATAGCCATAGCCATAGCAAGGGTCAATGTATGATATATAAACCTGTACAGCTATTTAATAAATCTACATAAAACTGAGGGAAATTAAGCCACAACATTATATTTTTCTGGGTCAAAGTTTAAAAAAGGGGCTTATGTTTTCGGGATAGCGTTGGTTAACATTAACAAAATTTGATCTGGCAACATAGCTATATAAATACGCGCTAAAGCACGCCCTCAATCTACAGGATGAGGTGACTTCTTGAGTGAGGTAAGGAGTGGCTGAGAAGTTTACTTTTATTAATTTAACCATAATCTTGAATGTTTTCTTATAGGCATTGTTGCAAATTTTGTGGTAAACCTATTAGGCAACAACACTAATTTATTGATAATCAACATTTAATTTAAAAACAACAACCAAGACATAATTTTATGTGAAGGTATCTGTCGGACACTGTCAAAACTGAGAAGCTTTATTATAAACTGATGTTGTGAAATATATTAAAACTTTTAATTTTGGATGACCTATATCTAGGTGATCAGGGAATTAAAGCCCCCCCCCCCCCATCATTAACTTTAATTTCCATTGGGTTTTTTCAACCCAGGTATAAAAAAAATAAAAAAAAAAACAACAACAAAACAACCAATTAACTAGTATCTTATGTACACATTAAATGAAAGTATAAAATTATTTCGAAGGATGAACTGAAAAACTGGCTATCAGATAAGCAATTTCTGTATTCTGAGCTACAAGGTTTAGAATAATGTAATTAATTAATTTCTAATTGCTAATAAGCTTAATACAGGTGGCCCATCGGTAATTTTTCCTAGCGGCCAACCATGTTTTTTTTCTCTCTTTTTCCCAGCGGCCCAGTCTAGAATTATTACATCTTATATTTTCAAAAACAATAGTATTGTAGTTCATACACCACTAACTTGGCATGACTAGCTGATATCAGCTATTGGTGGTACTCATTTTTTTTCTTAACCTAAACAAAGTAGTCAAATTATGGGTCACACTTCAACTTTGTCTCTGGTGTACTACCACCGGCTTGTTGATTATAAGTTGTTTAAGGTTTATGAAATATCTTAGACTAGTATTTACGTTATGACATCTTAGGCTAGGGTTATGAAACACCTTAGGCTAGAGTTATGAAATATCTTAGGCTAGGGTTATGAAACATCTTAGGCTAGGGTTATGAAACATCTTAGGCTAGGGTTTATGAAACATCTTAGGCTAGGGGTTATGAAACATCTTAGGCTAGGGGTTATGAAACATCTTAGGCTAGGGTTGTGAAACATCTTAGGCTAGGGGTTATGAAACATCTTAGGCTAGGGGTTATGAAACATCTTAGGCTAGGGTTGTGAAACATCTTAGGCTAGGGTTGTGAAACACCTTAGTCTAGGGGTTACGAAACATCTTAGGCTAGTATTAATGAAACATCCTAGGCTAGGGGTTATGAAACATCTTTGGCTAGGTTTTTGACTAAGAATATAATATAGCGTTTTTAAAGTCAATGGAAACAATCAGCAGAAAGTGTTAAATATCCAGTGGGTTTTTGCGTGCTTAAAGTGAAAAAAAAACAACAACGCATGGATTATATTTTCTTTAAGATATAAAACAAACCAGTTGTGTTTTAATAAAGAGCTAGCAGTATAAACTATTACTTGGTGAACAGCAGGTAGAGAAAACATGTAAATCATGTTTTTATCGTGTCATCATAACCTTTCACGAGGCTTACCTTCTTTCTGTTGCACAGGTAAAGAAACAATCCGTGAAGTTAACCTAAGACTTGACATCTAACTCTACATTAAACTCAAGATGTCGGGCTATTCGGAACCTGTTGATGTGGAGGCATTACAATATGCGACGAAAGCACTTCTTATCATCTTCATTATTGTCATTACCATCTCAAACGGTGCTCTCGTCATCAAAATCATGAGACGAAAACATTTTCTCTACAGCCCAAAATATCTGCTGCTGATATCACTGGCTGTTGGGGATATTTTCCTGGCACTGTTCGCCTTGGTTATACAGGCCAAGATAATGTTTCAGATGCATGAGTTAGGATTAGATGGATGCCGGATAGGGATGTACTCTAATGTGTACGAAAACTATCTCCTGAATTTTGTGTACGGAATCGGTCTTGTTGTTTTGTCAGCTGAATTGGTGTATCGCCGAAGATCAAACAGACCAAGAACAACAACTCATTTCGACTTGATTCACAGTTTCCTGATCAGTAGCGTGCCTTGGTTTCTGGGTTTGATCATCGTTTTACCACTAGCAATGGCAGGCCAAGATCCAGACATGTGTAGACTTAGCTTTACACTTGAAAGAACCAATGCACAGATTGTTGTGTCCATGGTACTCCCTGCTTGTCTGGCACTGGTCACAGCTGTTGTTGTCGTCTGCTTCAAGATGGACCGTGGTTATGTCCAGCACTTAGAGATGACGTCAGGTGACCAAACTTTAGCCAGTGGTCAAGGTACTGATGGTATTGTAGCACAACACCGACAACAAGATGCATTAAACTTGCCTCCATATAATGCTAATCAACCTTACTATCCACCACAAAATCCACCTTACTATCCACCACAAAATCCAACTAATTATCCACCACACAATCCACCTTATCCACCACAGGGATGCTACCCTCATCAAGGTTATATTAACAACAGTACCAACGTCAACAACCTGACAGTTGTGGTAAACGACAACGTACCAACGATACCATCGACCAACGCCATCTACCCAGAACAAAACAAGATTCTCTCTCTAGCGCTGATCTTCTTTTTTCTGGTGACACCGTTAGCCGTTTATTACCTGGTGTCTTTAAATGGCACTATGACGTCATCAGCGCTGACCAATATTGTGTTTGGACAGGGCCTGATGTGGCTCATGCTGCTTAGGCCTTTCGTCACTGCCGTCGTCACCTCACAAACAGCCTACCTAACACAGATGTAACTGTCTAATTCTCCTCAACAAACAGCCTACCTAATACAGATGTAACTGTCTAATTCTCCTCAACAAACAGCTTACCTCACACAGATGTAACTGTTCAAATCTTAACAAACAGCCTGTCTAATACAGATTTAACTGTCCAAATGTCCTTAACAAACAGCCTGTCTAATACAGATGTAACTGTCCAAATTTTTTTAACAAACAGCCTAATACAGATGTAACTGTCTAATTCTCCTCAACAAACAGCTTACCTCACACAGATATAACTGTCCAAATGTCCTTAACAAACAGCCTAATACAGATGTAACTGTCCAAATGTCCTAAACAAACAGCCTAATACAGATGTAACTGTCCAAATGTCCTTAACAAACAGCCTGTCTAACACAGATGTAACTGTCCAAATGTCCTTAACAAACAGCCTGTCTAATACAGATGTAACTGTCCAAATGTCCTTAACAAACATCCTGTCTAATACAGATGTAACTGTCCAACTCACCTTAACAAACAGCCTGTCTAATACAGATTTAACTGTCCAAATGTCCTTAACAAACAGCCTGTCTAATACAGATTTAACTGTCCAAATGTCCTTAACAAACAGCCTGTCTAATACAGATGTAACTGTCCAAATCTCCTTAACAAACAGCCTGTCTAATACAGATGTAACTGTCCAAATCTCCTTAACAAACAGCCTGTCTAATACAGATGTAACTGTCCAAATGTCCTTAACAAACAGCCTGTCTAATACAGATGTAACTGTCCAAATCTCCTTAACAAACAGCCTGTCTAATACAGATGTAACTGTCCAAATGTCCTTAACAAACAGCCTGTAGCAGGCAGTGGGGGTTATTCTGCAATGTTCCACTTAGACGCAAGAATACACTTAGAGCTTGAAATCTAAAAATCATATATTTAAACAGATCTATATATATACACACACACACACACATTCTTAGGATCGTGTTTAAAAACTAAATGTTGTTTGAACAATAATAAAGGACTTAACATTTCATACAATGTGTCATGTTTTTTTGTTTTCTAAAGAAAGCTGCTATGCATGAAATCACTTTCCGCATCGAGAGGAACGTGACCGCAACCGGATAATCAGGGCGTTAGAGATCGTCTATAACTGACGTCACGCTTATATGGGGGGGGGGGGGTCCGTAATTTTGTGACTGTGTGTCAAGGGGAAGGGGGGGTTCAGATGGTGTGACGTCACTATTTTGCATTATAAAAAAAGCAGTTTAAAAACGAGTTTTAGACGTTATTTCGCGTTTTAGAAAACGGTTTTTATAAATTGTAATAGGAATTGATAAAAATGCTCTATGTTAGCACAGTTCTGACAAGATTTTGGAAAAAATATCGATGTTTTAAGAAAAATTCGACATCAATTTTGAGGGGGGTTGTAGGCTGAGATGTGACGTCATTTTAGGGGGGGGGGGGCGGGTTTGTAAAAATCGGCAAAAAAAGCGTGACGTCATTTATGGATGACCCCTTAATTTCTTCTTCTTCTTCGTTCTTAATTTTTAGTGTTGGAAGGGATCGAGCCTTAACTGACAGAGGGTTTGAACTCGAGACTTTTTTTTCGAATTTATAAACCATGAGCTTTTTGCCGACTCGACCACGCCTCCATCACAATTGAGGATACGTATCAGCTGGTTATGCGCCATTGAGGCCATTGACTCCGATTTCAGCCTGCTTTTCTTTTTGGATGTGCTTCCATAGCCTTTGTCCAACCAAGAACCAACAACAAGGCAGCAGTTGTTTGATTTTGGAGTTGTCTCTCCTAGAAGAGTCGCTGTCCCCAGCTAACGAGCCTCATCTGCCCGGGGGTTCGAACTCGAGACTTTTCCGTTTAGCAACCATGAGCTTTACCGACTCGACCCCGCCGGCCCCTTAACTAATATTTGGTATTATCACAGTAATGTGTGACATTATCAGGTCATTAGGCAACGTGTGATATAATTTTTTTTTCACTCATTTTTGAATTGCTGATATTGTACTTCAATTATTAAGTCGGCGTTCTACCAATTTGTGTTGATAACGCACACATTGCCAACTACAGAATATCCGAGTTTGAATCACTACCGGTAGTGAGCTAGACTGCTAACCCGTAAGTCTCGAGTTCGAATCTGGGTTTAAGTCAGTAGAACGTCCACCATGCTCGGATGTGTACCTTACTCACGTTAGGGAAATTAAAGAAGGGTGGGCATAGCACTGCCCACATTATCTCTTCATATGCCGAGGTCCCAGAAACTGGTGAACTCTACTTCATTTACACCATAAACCGTCTGGTTTGGAAGGGGAATTTTATCAATATCGTAAAGTAGCGTTTGGTGCTGCTAGCCAAGTATCAGTACTAATAGTGAGGTTCTACCACCAATGCACATTCAATCTCTAATCAGGCCAATAAAATCTAACGCAAACATGAATTGTAAACAAAGCAATTGATTTATACTAGGGTTGAGTGATAAGATTAGCAGCCTCATGGTCCCACTGGGTCTACACAACGGTAGCAGTCATGCAAAGATAAAACAATGGGATTGGTGTTTAGGAAAAGGTTGCTAACAATGGGGTTACATTGTTAACAATGTGGACATGATTGTTAACAAATATTAATTGAAACCGGATCGTTAACCATTACAAAAAAAAAACTTAACAATTAGGACAAGATTGTTAGCAATTGTTTAAAGCTTGCATTTTTTTTTAAGTTTTGATAGGAAACAATATTGCTGAGATTTTAACAAGTGTGTTGACATTTTTTTAAATTTTTATTAACAAGTGAATGCGCCAATCTGTTGTAGCTAGTCATTGAATTCAACGGACAAACTATTTCCAATAGATCTTATGATTTCTAAGAATGGACTTTCTTTAATAATGTTTAAATAACCAACAACAATTACCTTACCAATGTTTTTTTTTAAAATCAATAAAACGCTGTATGATTTTTTTTAAAAATCATATCACAAAAGAAGTTATGTTCCGTTTTTTTTACTTTCTCGTATATACGAAGTAGCCTATAGAGAAAGTCTTGTAATCCTGCAAAAAAAAAAATCGAGATTTTTACAAATCTCGACGTCATACACCTCCCTGAGTCGGAAAAACATAGTTTTGCAATCTTGTCCGTATGTCTGTGTGTATCAGGGGCGGAACTACAGTGCCGCCAGACCCCGCAATGCGGGGGGGCCCAGGCCATTTAGGGGCCCACAGCCGACCATAATCAATTTTTTTATTGTTAAAAAAATAGTTTTCTTGTGAAAAAGCAAACAGATCTACTACAGTAGTGATGTTCTACAGTAGCTAACACACGCTGCTTCGTAAAGGAACAAAAATATATAGGCTACATGAGTTGTAGTATGAAAGATAGGCAAACGTTGAAACCACTTCCATGACTTATTTCCCTTTTATAAATAGCCAAGTACGTGTGTTCTTAAGAAACGTTTAATATATCTGCAACAAACAAATAAAAAGCAATTACTTCTCTTAATTAATATTTTTAAAAAATACCTAATAAAGAATGATATAGTATAAAAAGGAAATGTATTAGAAACTAATAATATAAATACAAAAAAAAACATAAAAATAAACATAAGGCGAGAAACCATTACACATATAAAGCTTTCATGCTTCATATTCTTTTGACCGACTTGTTACAAGGAAGCATTATGTAAAACTTTAAAACAGAGTTTCAAAACAGACTAATAGCACTCACACAAATCGCGTGTTGTGTTAACACGTTTAAATTAAAAATTAAACTAAGAATTTTATTTTTTTCAAATTTCGAACAATTGCGTATTCAGTATTATATGTTCGTATTTTCGTATTTTGTATATATATATATATATATATATATATATATATATATATATATATATATATATATATATATATATATATATATATATATATATATATATGGGCCCAAATATTTTTTTTGCGGGGTGGCCCTTTTTTTCTAGTTCCGCCACTGGTGTGTATGTGTGAATGTGTGTGTTTGTAAACACGATAACTTGAGTACCGTTACAGCTAGGTTGATGAAATTTCATATATAAGTATAAACTTTTGAGCGATTTCCGATAACCGGAAGTGGTACTTTTTCTACTTTGAATTTTTCAAAAGCCTATAACTTGAGTACTATTTCAGATAGATGAATAAAATTTCACATTTAAGTAAAAGATCTAATCCTCTACCCAGGGCCGGCGCTACCTACAAGGCGAACTAGGCTGTCGCATAGGGCGCCATCCCTTGGGGGTCGCAAAAGTTTTAATCGCTATTATCAAAAGGTGCCTAATAATTAATAACTTTTATAAAGGAGTAGCGATCTATTTCGGCACCCAGGACGAACTATCAATTCTGCAACCCCACCCCAAAATTAGGTCTATATAGGCCTTTATTTATTCGTGATGGTGAAAATGCAACCCCATCTCCCTAATTTGGAAAAGTCGGGGCGCTTTTTACCAGTCACTTTGCTTTTTTAATTCGGTGTCACATAATTGATATTGAAACCGATTAAATAAGTTCGTAATTTAAATTTCTATCATTTTAGTAGGGCTTGTAAGTCTCGTTTTCTCGGACTTTAAATTAGAAATCTGTTCTGGTGTGTAGAGTTTCGTAATGACGGGGTGTTCAAAGTATTGTACTTGTTTGGTAAGTTTTGATGACTCGTTTAGATTTGGGAGTAACGGCGGAAGGCTGTTGCTGATATAGATTCGTAAAGTATCTAAGTGTTAAACTGTCGTATTTTTTATTTCGCTGTTGTGTAGTTGAAGGTCTAGTGGAATCTGATTGGTAGTAGAGAAATGAGAACGCAGGTGATGAAGTAACGTAGTTCTGGAGTATTGATTCTTGTGGTATTAAGGTATCGAATTATATTTACTGTTAAAGTGTAGTAGTAGGTTCAGTGAAATCGTTGTTGATTGGGAGTACCGTTTGTAGAGCTTGGTGAAGTTAAGCGAGTTGGTGTCATAGTTTTGGAGCATCGAGTCTCGTTATGTTTAGGTATGGAAGTTTGATATGTGTTGTGAATGTAGTAGAGTATATCGAGTTTATCCTAAGTTAGATGATATTAATTTAGTACGGAGCACACTACAAAGAATGGTAGGCGTTATCAAGTTGAAAAATCTTGTTTTTAGGAATCTATATTACCACTCTTAAAGTATCAATCTATATATATAATCCTCTTCTTGGATACCCTAGAAAGCACCAAGCTGTAAGCGTGACTAGTAGCCCCCTCTCTTCCTCTCTAAGCATATCCCTACCACCCCCACTCCCACATGGTCTGGTGAGCTGTGGTTCACGCTAAATGTTTACAATCGTAGAGCCGGATTTAGTGACGGTTATTAGGGGCAGATAATTTAATTTGAAACGATTTTAAACTTAAGGGAGGTAACTAAGAGGAGGCTGCTTTCACGGGTGGGGGGGACGTAGGAAGGGAGGGGGGGGGGTTCGTCCTTAACGAGCTACTGATAGTGTTTTAGAGCAAATATATTTGGTGGCAGCATTGGTACTGTCAAATTCACAAATTATGAAATACTGAAAAATAGAAAATAAAACAACTATGTAGCGGCGTATGATACGCCGCGGGTCGGCTCGTATATATTAATTAGGATGGAGTTTATAACTAACATTAACCTTTTTTCAAATAAAATGTTTTTTTTTTAAATTTAATCAATAATACTAGTAATGTCTAAACCAGTTACCCGTGTTCGATTTTTTTTTGAAAGATATCCCTTTATTTAAGGGGATCCAAAATTTGACATTAACAAAACTAACTGCACAACCTAAATTAAATGGCATCAAAATTGTATAAAAGTGTGTTATAATAAAGCTGCCATTTTTATACTTTCAAACAAAACCTACAGTTAAGTATTCAATAGGTAAAATATATTATTTTCACAAGGTTACATAGGTAATATAAAGGTTTGTTGTAAATATTACTTAATGAAATTTAGAGCGTTTATTTGTGTTTTTTAAACATGTCTTAATAACACTTGGTTAATTTAGCAATTTTT